AAAAGACCAGAAGATCACCTCACCAGCAAGCAATCACCAGCAATCATCACCAGCAATCATCGCCCAAATAAGCAAAGGTTACCACCAGGCACACAATCAAGCAGCAAACACATGCCAATCAAAGAACCACCAGAGGAGCAAAACAAAACCCCCAGCCCCACCAGCACTGGTAAGGCAGGCAACAGCACATGAATAGAGAGCAAACCCCATCCCATTTTAGCACAGAAGATGTTACCTAGCCGGGTAATGAAACGTTTGCAGGAAAAGAACCAAGCTCAGAGAACCCCAAGGACTCCACAGCACAAGAAATCACCAGATAGTTGTAGATGTCATACTCCCTTTTCATAAATTTCTTCTAGCTTTAGGATATAATTTATAAGGGTGTGGGTTTGTTTTTTGTTTTTGTTTTTTGTTTTGCCTTTGAGTCAGTCACGTCCCTGCAGTTTTCTTGGCAAGATTTCAGAAATGGCTTGCCATTCCCTTCTTCCTAGGGCTGAGAGAGAATGACTGGCCCAAAGTCACCCAGCTGGCTTTGTGCTCAGGGTCTCCTGGTTTCTAGCCTGGTGCCTTAACCACTGCACTAAACTGGCCCTCAGGTGTACAAAAAGGAAAATTGAGTTCAGAGACCACATCCCACTCGCTTTTTTTTTAAATTGAATTGATAATGTTATGATGGAGTAAAAGAATAATTGAAGAATTCTATCAGAGTAAAACTCAAACTCTTTTGAGTATTCTCATCATAGGAAGCAATGGGAACTCAAGACAAGTCCTTTGTTCTTTTGCTTTGATTCCAGCACTAGAGGAGGAAGCTGTTCATTCTGTTCATTTTGCAAAATAGTTGGTCAGTAGAGTAACTCTTAATTTTAATACATTTTAAAACCTCATATTCTCTATGTAAAGTAGCTCAGTTATGGAAAAAAACCCTTAGCAGTGAGTTGTCAATAAGAAGCTTTCAGTTGGTTTAAACAACTTCTTCGGGTAATCAGCATAGGACTGAAAGAACAGAGCAGTCTCAAAACAAAATAGAATTTCAATCTTAGCATTGTGTAGTGCAGACTGGAAGGCACAAGAGCTTGCACAGAGTGCCCACATACCAAACCACCCCAAACCAATATAAAGGGTTTGAATGTTTAAAAGTAATCTGAAATTCAACATGAAATGTTACCCAGAATATTCAACCTATTCCAAAAGGATTACATATCACCAGGAGTTCTACAGAGAGAAAGTCTTATATATCTCCCCCTTTTTGTTTAATGTTGTATGAAAGTTGAGGGGTATGTTGAATATTAATTGATTATTGATCATTTGTAACTAACGTTATCTTTTTGAATAGAAATTTAAAAACTTAGATACCATTTTAATATATAAGTATTTCTCTGGAATATCAGACTTTCAGGTTTATAGTCGGGTTGAATACTCTTTGAAAAAAGTTTGGAAGAAATGTTTTGAAATTCATGCAAGCATGAAACATATCATTTAATCATTGCCATCTTTGCTCAACCCTGAAAAATATGCAACTGCATTAAGAGTCGCAGCAAGTAGGTACAGCTTTTTTCAGGCATTTTTGCCTGTGTAAGAAAGAATGTGGTTGCTATAACAAGTAGTGGAGAGGTGCTGCATTTACACAAATTCCAAAATGTTTGTAAATTATTTTGAAGCTTGCAGCGGCTTTGGTTGTAGTATTGAAAAAGTGAAGCAGATAATTATAAATAATTATGGTGTAGAATATTTAAGTCTTAAATAAGCAAATAAGCATTCAGAGACCTAGGAATGTTGGAGCCATTGTTCATGGTTCTATAGTTAAGAAAGAGCAGTGAAAAGTAGTGGGATAGAAATTTAGAAATGGATGATAGCAGTGGTAGAACTATTTTTTTTTATTCTTGATGATTTTGAGACATGTAGGTGATTCTTGTCCATTGCAATGCCCATAGAAGTAGAAACTATTATGAACTAATCTAGCATATAGTGAATATTTTCCAAATGGCAGCACTTTGTTTTAACTGCAGATTCAAACGGAAACTTTAGTTCTGAGATTCATCCATGGGAGTTGGTGATTCAGACAGCAGAAATAAGATATCTGGAAGAAAGAATTTTATATTCTGTGTAAGCCAAAGGACCATTACTGGACCTGTTTACAACCAATCTTATTTCTGCTTCCCTCTCTCTGATTATTGTCTGTTGGTAATGTGAATCAGTAGAAAGATGCTAAAAGTTGGATGTGAGTTTGATCTTTTTGGCAGATAAAACTGAGAATTGTTCAAGTTTAATTTGACTATGCATGTTGCAGATCATTTAGTTTCACTTCTGAACCTTCTGTAGAAAGGGTTCAACTATAACTTATAATAGTTTCATAAAACAAATTAATAATGTGAATGAATACATTGATCAAATAGGGTGATTTAACCACTTTTAGTTAAAAACCTAAGCAGCCATGAATTGAAAATCCATATTAAGGCGATGCAGTTATTAGGCCAGCTAAAGTTTAGAAAATACGTAAACTGGAAGAAAAAAAGAGAAATATACACCTGCTGTTTAAGCCATGGCTAACCCAGTTTGTAAGAACTGATAGAATGTGGAGAAGACTGTACCTGTGCAAATTAGGCAGGTGGAGAATAGTTAACTAATTTTATGATGAGTTTGGATATATTATTAAATCACATTAAATGTGTTTGGGGGACAAAGATAATTGAATATTTCATTTCATACAATGACAGGAAAAATGTACTTTTACAATTTGTAAAGTTAATGTAGTAATTTTATAGTATTTTCTCAAAAATGCTCCATTGAATAAACTAGTTTTAGGGTATCTGTTTTCCAATTCATTATTTTCAGGGAAACCTGTATTTCTGAGATAGACTTTTATAGAAATATCCATAGTTATCATTATGTATTGATTATTGTGTTTGAAAGCCTGCACATTCTTATATATAGAAATATATACATATAGCTTCTATAGTTATTTCTAGAATTAGCTTTATGAATGGTGTGACTATTTTGCTCTTAGGATAAGTATGAAAAAATGTAGGAATTTAATGAAGCCTGTTCTCCATCCCTGTGTAGTTGGATTAACAGTTAGCTGGCTTGGAATGTTAATACGGTAGTTTTAAAACAGATTAAAAAGAATGAGTTTATTGTGTGATTGCAGCCTTAAAGACAATTTATAATTGCACCATTGAAGAAAAGTAAAATTTGGAAGTAAATTAATTGTAGTTTACACAGATTGCCATAAAACTCAGTAATTATACAACTGGATATTATTTTGATACAATATCAGAAACATCCTTCACAAAGCTTGTTTAACATGCAAATTGCATATGCATTTATTGCTGATTTCTCGAGTTAAACATAGAGCTGTACAAACAAATGATGGATGCCTGGCAGTAACAATATACACATCAATAATTACAAACCTAGCTTAAAGCAAGCCACCAAGGAAATTGCATATAGTTAATTAAACTACCTACTACAATAAAATTGTCTTTTCTTAAACCATTATTATTATTATTATTATTATTATTATTATTAATTCAAAAGATCAAAATAGAGAAGAAGAATGGAAGTAATATAAAGCCATTTGTTTTATTATATGCATGCCAATCTCTGTACTGTTTATAAAAAAATATGCATTTCTTTTATAGCCACGTCATGAATACTTTAATGTCCCAGTATACTAAATGACTTCATTCATCATGCACACAGAGAGGCGCTAGAACTGACTTTCTCATGGCAGAACGCTTTTCCTCAGCTTGGTGAATCCAATCATCTCGAACAAACTAGTGTATATCACAGTTGTGTTTTTTGTTTTTGTTGTTTGTATTTTTCCTTGTCCTTCCATTTGCAGTGTTTGTTTTTCTTCATATGTTTTGTCAGCATGCTGTAATTTCCATGTTAAAATATTTAAATTAACTCATTAGCACTTGACATAGCATGTAAAACTCCAGCTTGAAATACTTTGCTTAGCCTTGCTTTATCAGTTAAACATTCAACCCCATGGTACAGTATTCTATCAAAATGTAAACAAATATAATTTATATAGCTATCACATAGATCTCCACTGAAATCTATACATTTATCCCACTAAAAATATTTTCTAAATAGTGCCTTCTTACCATGAAAAACAACCCTGAAGGCCACAAATTGTGATACATACATATTAAACAGATTTGCTTCACCTCTAAATAAGTTTAAAAAATAAGTACATCAATCTTGCATTCTCTAGAGTGCATGTACATAAGGTGTTCCTTCTGCATGCAGTCCTTTTCATTAATTTCAATAATTAGAGTTGATTTATATGGATATTTTCAATGCATGTATGGAGCTCATCCAAATGTTACAATATCAAGAAAAATGACTGTTCATAAATGTACAGAAGCAACTACCAAAATATATGACTAAAAAAATCTGGTTTCATTCTAAAACAGAAATAGTCATAATACAAATAGAGAAGTGACTGCTGTTAACAAAGTTAGACTTTCAAAATGGTAGTTAAAAAACCTGGAAAATGGTTTCTGCCATATGATTAAATATAGACATAGTGTATGTTTCAAACACAGGGGGTTTAACGTTACTTCCTGTTATGTCTGAGAAGCACACAAAAAGCATTTGTATTGCAGACCTTTTCCCTGGTATTGCCTCTGTGAATGTATATGGTAAATGTTGCTTTGCATTCTTTTAATGTCTGGCTTTTCAAACTGCTGCGAATGGAGTGCTGATGATGGTGCAGTATTGTTGCACCTTTATATAGCTGCATGCCTGTAAATTACTGTGAAGTTTTTTGAGCATGTCTGTAATAAACTATTGCATGCACTTCTCATGTGACTGGCTTTTTTTCCCTCCATTTCTTCTGCTGTGATATAATTCATATTTGTGGAATTCACCTTAATTCTGATTTGCAGACATAACATATGAAGCTCTTTTGATAAAAGATTAAATTTGGCTATTAATGTGATTTTTAAGAAGTTTGCACATTCTCAAAGAGCTGTTAACATTTATTCCCTTGAGTGGTACAGCTACTTTCCCCAGATAGCATTTGGGATTCAGACTTGTTGAGGGTGTGCTGTATCATTGCACATAGTACATTGTTAAAAGTATAAAACACCATTTTTAAAAACGTTCCTGCAATATGAAAATACATACAGTAATAGTAGTATGTAGGTTATTACAGAAATATAGTGCATCTACATTACATTATGCTGGTCTATGACTGTAATAAAGATTTGATTTGAATTGATTTGAATTGAATTGATTTGATTTAGTGCAATTGATTTGATTTAGAACATTAACCTTCATATAAATAGATCCACTGGTGCAGATGAAATCCAGTATATTTCATTTACTGGATTACAGCTCTAACTTGCATTAGAAATCACCAGAAGCAAGTGTCTGTCTTCTTGAAATAGAACCATTTTGGGAATCTACCCTTCTTTAAGTCAAATCTGTTTTTGGAAGGAGTTGTAGCTTTGCATAATGAATGAGGGTGCATTTCCCTGCTAGTAAATCTGCTGAATGATGAATCTTCAGAATGATGAATCTAATAAAAACTTATTTTGCACAGCAAAATTAGTCGAGTTTTCTATATCAAGTTTAAATCTTTATGTCAGCACTGAACAATAAATAGAGCGCTTGCTGCTAATGACTAATATGATTCAGAGGTGTTACAAATAGTTCCTTCCTTGGGAATTCAGAATTTTAAATGTATGTCCTTGCACACTTGTATATTCTTGTTGTATTTTCTGTGGAAATATTGCTAAATTCTGATTTTCTTTCTTTTTGGCTAAACCTTGTTTAGGATGCTAAAGTAAGTGTTTATACAAAAATTACTGGTGGTGCTTTGAGTAGAAAAACACTGACGTAGCATTATAAGGAAAATATAACTTTAACATTTTAATTGAAATTGAACATTTCAAACATTACAGTCCTTATTAACTTCACTAATAAAGTATAGAAATTATAACATTATTTTAACCAACTTTTTCCAAGTTATTCTCTATAAAGCTTTTATCATATTTGTTAAGTATCTAGAATTAGTTTTATCTAAAATTCAGTTACTACTTCTTTGGCTGAATCCCTTAATCAGGTCAGACATTTTGATACCTGAGTTACACCTATCAAAGTAGCTAGTGCCTATGGGAGTTGTTCAACGTACGTAGGTTAACTTCTGCTTTTTTTAATGCTTGACCAAAGCATTTCACATAATAGAAATTGTTTCCAGTCTACTCAGTTGAATAAAGAAAGGAGGGAAGTATTGCAGGAATTGGGGAGTTATCAAATAGAGTTATTAAAAAAAGGTGAGATGTAACTTTCTGAAATTCAGTTACTTCTTAGTATGAATCATTTAGCTTGACAGGAACAAAAAGTCTGTTAATTCTCTAATCTTTCCTCCACAGGAAGCAGAGACCCCTCGTAGTGTTCTTGAAGAGATTGGACTGACATAAATCTTCTTTCTGATGTCTTAATGGTGTCCCATATAACTGTAAATGTTCACTGCCTCCATTCAATGTAACATTTAATGTTAGCTAATGGTGTTATGATGCTATTTGTCAGTATTACTGTTCTGCTAAGCTACTTATATTCAGGTCTACGAGAAAAAAAATCTATTTATTATAAAGTTTAAAAAGGGATAAAAGTTTTTAAACCTTTTAAAATTGGGGGAGGGGATTTTACAGTAATTTAAGCCACATTAGTTTTAAAACATTGAGTCATAGATGACAATTTCAGTAATTATATTTTGTGAATTACTTTGCCAACACATAATGTATCCAATACTGTAGTTTGTGTTATATGCTGAAAACAATTACATGTGATAATGTGAAATGAGTTAACAAAGGAACTTGGCTTTATATAGCCAAAGACTTTTATTATGAAGTCAGTATTTCTTAAAAGTCAGTTTAGGTTGTCACAGAAGATTAAACAAGTATTTACAGCTGTTTTATTTATACCAAAGAATCACATCAAGATCTCCAAGTCAAACTGTTGCAAGCTGTCATGGCAGATTCATTTCTAACAATTCAGTTATAAACATTACAAACATTCCTTGTAATGAAATTCTAAATTCAGGTATCCAATTGAGTTAATATATTGCAAAGGGAATGTAAATTGAAGTTATATAGAGTATGTTACTTTTTATAAGCATAAATACTGAAATAGTCTTTTCAAAAGGATCAAATAAAATTCAGACATCATTGAAATACGACAAAAAGGGACTGTTGGAAAACATCGACTTGTTACCAGTATTATCTGCTGTATGTTTGAAATCATAATCTGAACAGCTGTATTAATAACTGTAGCTGCCCATTAATATTATTCCATCTAGATTTAATCATAGTGCATTGTGAGCACAGCAGAGAAACAAACCTTACCCCATGCCTTTGCTCAGCTTGTTCAGTCTTGGCTGTCGCGGTATGTGTATGCACATTTTTACAGTGGTGTATGTCTGAAACAAAATAGGACTTCTAAATATGCATATGGTCAGACTGCATGGATATTACAAAGCCATATTTTGTTTACCCTCATGTACATTTTGCTGGATATCTTGTAATAAGTTTGAAGCAAACTTCGTTCAGAGCATTTATTTCTGGAAGTAATGTTGCTTTACATATAAATGTGTGTGTGTGTGTGTGTATTTTCTCATACGTAGGCCTCTTCAATAATGTAACTACTAAATTCCCTTCTGGTGGATCAATTTGCTATGATTAATGTTTCCAAACCTGTAATGCATTGGTATAAATAATGCCACATCAGAAAGATTATTATATCATGTTATATCATACTGAGTCCAATAGAAGTATTATGGAATTAATAATGATTACATAAAGTACATACACTGGAATCCTGTTCTATGTTTAACTTAATGGAAACTGGAAGAATAAAGTTCGAGTGGCATTAGAATGGTCCATTGCTATGTGTGAAGTTGAAATAGGGTGGAATTACTTGACATTTTAAAATGTCAAAAGCATTTTTGTGCATACAAACCATGTTTTAAGGTCTGCACTGTTGCCTTGTATGTGTTCGTTTAAAAAAGCATTGTGATGTGAGATCAGCTGTGTAGTATCACACCAGTTTAGTTGTAATAAATGTCCATTTTTACTCCATTACTGTGCCTGACTATTCAAAAACTTAGAGAAAATTAATTTACACAATTATGTTTTAATCTTTGTGTATATGGATACTTAAATATACTTATAATGAATTATCTATCTGCAAGTATATCAGAATAATATGCATATTTTTTTTAAAGAACAGGCATTTTAAAGTTTATATTGTCCAGGCTTTAAAAACATCCAATGAATAATTTAGGAAGACAGTTATGTTTTTATAGAAACATATTTTAGAATACAAAATGCATTAGAACATTCTCATTGCTTCAGAATTAAAAGTACTACAGGACCCAACAGTGTCTCAGTTCAAAATCAGTTATATTGTTTTGAGTGACTCTGTTCTCTTTGAAAAAATTGTATTCCTGTTTTCTTTCTCTTTGGGGGGAGGGGAATACACTGTGAGATTGTTTGGAGTATGTAGACATATTTCCCGAAAAGGCAAGGGTGCATGTATATGTAAATATAAAATTATTTTTAAGAACTGTAGTTATCTAAATGGAAACATAAAATTAAAAAAACAACCATGGATTTAAAAGGTTTACAGGAGACTATTTCTTCAACAAAGATGTTGAAGAAGAAAAGGATATTGAAGAAAAAAACTATGTTCACATTATCTATACAGAACAAAATGGATTCTATGAGCCATATAAATCATTCAAACATATCATTTACCAATTTTTTCTACTTTGGATTGGAATATTAAGATGGAGCTATTAATGAGGGTGTCACTCCAAATATTAGTCATCTTTGCTTCCAAGTCTTCAAGAGGAACAACTCATGCGTTAAACATAACTGTAAAATTAGACTACATCTATAGCCATGTACCTGAATGCTATACAGAATGAAAAAGTTCCATTAAATTAGTGGAAGATTACACTGCCTCTAAAAATTTGGGGATGGCTACAAAGGGTTAGAATCTTCCCAAATTGTGAGACCCCAGAAGGTAAATTTTATCTGAATTTGGGAGCCAAACAGAAGTGAAATTTTAAAAAGGATAAAAATGTGCCCAGTTTAACCTCAAGCAATGATTGCAATACAAATTATACTTCAAGAATAATGTGAGTTTATTCCAGCCCTACTCCTAAAAACTTTATGAGTTTGACTCATAAATACTAAATTTGGGCTTATTCCATGCTTAATGTGTTCGCTTACAAATGGATTTTTAAAAATCATCTCGTGATATACTGAAATAATTTTTTCAATGTTTCTGTCAGCACGCCACTTTATTAAATAGCCCAAGATACCAATATTGCCTTCTTTTATTCAAACATTATGTAAATCATTGTAGCAGTAAGTTAACAGTCAATTTCTTAGCAATGGGGACACTCAATATCAGCTCATTTCTGTTATGCCAGTGCATGGAAGTAATCTGTAGCCACTTCATTGATGTACATATGCAATGATAAATATATGTACTCTATGTATGATATAGCTTTACATACTTGGAAAGCAAGTAATGTTAATCTTACCTATACCAATTTCTGAAAACTTAAGTACAAAATTGCCAACTCATTGTAGAAGGAGAGCCAGGTTAGTCTACGGTAGCCAAACAGAATTTGGTAGCACCTTTTGAAACTAACAAATCTATTACAAACTTTTGTGAGCTACAGCTCACTTCATCGGATAATGGAGTAGCTTAATTGATAAAATTTTAAATGCATAGGGATGAAGCAGTCAGTAAAAAAGTAGGGAGAAGCAGGCTGCAACTCAGAAAAGTCTATGCCTTACAATAACATTTGTTAAGTCTTAAAAAGTGCTACTACACTCTGATTTTCTACCAAAGTCCATTGAAAGAACACTTTCTAATTTTATAGCCCTATGACAGACTGAGGTATACAAATTTAGAAAAACGTTGCAACACATGAAACTAGTTGCTTTGTAATAATAAGTAGTAGTACTTATTTACTATAGGTGAAATTACTGTATGGGATGTAATTTAAGGAAACCTGAGGCAAATTGCATGTCTGCTTCCTTAAAGAAAAGAGGAATTTGAGATTTTGGGGTTCTGGTTATTCATAAAAGGTATTTAAAAAAAAAGTTTTAAAAAAGCTAAAGTAGTTAAACACTAAAAATACAGTGCTTCAGAAATGATTTGAGAAGCATGCTGCTAATGCTGCACAGCTGTATTAAACATTAAAGCTGTGAAGTGGACAGACACCGACTGTAATTCACATAGCATGCAGAAACTGTGATAGGACAAGTAACTTGAATAGCATGCCAAACTAGGAAAAAGTCCAAGACCAGCAGCTGTGCATGGAAGAGGCTGCTCTTACACAGTAGATGCACTATCTACATCACCTGCTATCTGCTGTTAAAGTCACAGCAGGTGGCAGCACCAAGCTGATGTGGCTAATCTCAAAATTGCTGAACAGGGTTGGATCGGGTTGGTTTTTGGAAGGGAGATCACCAGGAAATTCCCAGGTTGGAGGCATAAGTTGAGCTCAGTTTGAATGAGCCTATTTAATATGCCAAAAAAGAAATGGTGTTTTATGTGACAGGTTATATGAGCGAGCTCTTGGCTTCCAGATTATTAATCAACCTATGCAATTGTGCCATAGAGAAGAAAGCTTTTCACAAACTTAATACTCCACAGCAGTCTGACTCACAACTCACATAACCAGCATAGTCAGATATACTATCACATTTAGAAAGCAGCAGGATGAGGAAAGCATGCTAATAAGCCTGGCTATTATAACGAAGTACTGTTTTTCTTAGTTTCTTTTGTAGTGTGTAGGCTATGCTAAACGGAAACATATCTACTCAAAATGTTATTTTGGACAAAAAATGAGAGTACATTAGCCTTATTCAATGTACTTACTTATAAACAAAATATAAACCAAAGATTTTGTTACTTCAGTTGTTTTTAACTTATTATGCAATACTGCTTATTTTAGCTAAAGAATTAAAAAAAAAAAACCATCCGCTTTCCACAGCAGGTTAATTAAACAAGTCCCAGGAATGTATTTAATTTTTTTTCATAATTTATTGCAAAACTTTAGATAGGATAGTGCATAACAGCTTTATTTCTGGGGCACAACAATATACAACCGATCTAATAGGACTACAGGCAATCTTTTTCAAAACACATCCAAGTCTTAAAAGTCATTCTCCAGCAAATTCAGCTATTCCTTTCTTTGCTACTGGACCTCTTTCTGCCTCGACTTCTTGAAAGAGAGGAACTTCTACTACGGCTACGTGTCATGCTCCTGTTGCGACTCCGTCCTCTCTTCTTTTTACTGTGTGACCATTGCCTTCCACGACTGCCTGATTTCTCAGAAAGATGACTTTTCTTATGCTTATGATGAGATTTTTTTCTTTCAGATTCTCCATTTCTTTTATTGTATGAACGATCTGGACTTTGACTGTTCCTTCTCCTTGATCTGCTGTAATGTTCTTCATAGTACCCCGATCTATTTCTCCTTTCAGAGTTTTTACCTGCCTCTTTAGCCCAGTCAGTGGAAATGTGAATATCTCTGTTGGCTTCCCAGAACTCATTATTCGGATTTTTGAATACATGAAGAAAATTACAATGCTTCCCTCTTGGACACTTCTGCCTTTCAAACAAACCTGAAAAGGGATTTTTTTTAATAGTTACTAAATTTGAAATCAAGATTAGGTTTCCATCCCAATACATCTTGTGACTTATTTTTGTCTGCAAAGTATCTAATTACAGGTATCTAAAAAAGTTCTATGTGCCTAGTTCACGATCCAGATAATCAGCTAGTGAACAGAAATATTTAGGCAAGACTGTTTTCAAAAACATTACCTTTTTCCAGAATATCCCATATATAATTCTGTATATGTATGAGAGATACTTCCTCCAGTGTATTCCATAATACAGCAGTAGCTAAACATGCTGCCTTTTGTCACATTAAGTTACCAGACCTACAGAAACTTGCCAATTTAGACAGAGAGACAGTGAAAGATCATGGCATGACCTCAGCAATCTGCTGGATGGAAAGCTAAGTCGCACAGAAGCAGAATTGAAAGTTGTATTTCATGATCTGAACACTTCTTACTCAGTTTAGAAATGTTGATTTTTAGGCAGAACCACTGCAAAACTATGGAAAAAAACCCCACATAGGCAGAAATGTAATCACCAAAAATTTCACTGACTTACCACAAATAGCTGTTTTCCACCTTGTTACTGGACAAAACTCACACTGCAGCTGCCGCCCTGCATACCACCGACCATTGAATAAAGTAAGAGCCTCCTGACATTCTTGCTCTCTTTAAAAATCAAATTGAGAATATATTGCTAGAATGTCAAGCAACTAGTGGCATTAAAACAAGGAATACTGCAAAACAAAAAACGCTTTGACATCTTTATGGGAAACCCTAGTCCTGTACAGGTAAAGTGGATGGGACCCGAATTATCTTAACCTTCTAATGTTTAACAGGAAGGCTCTGAATATGATTGAAACCCTTTGTGTGATAGAAATCCTGAAAAAGAATGATTCCTGTGGTTTTGTGAAGGATCTACTCCCATTCATGTAGCCCACTGCAGATCTTGTACAAAACAGGGCAGTGGTGTAGGAGATTAATGCTCGACAAGGACCACTGACCTACTGAAATACACCTCCCTCAGTCACAACCCAGTAGCCCTTTGCCTTAAAACTTTTTGTAGGATCTTCATTAAGTTTAACATCCAGAAAACTCTGTATTGTTAAATACTTACGACTGATATTGAACATAGACGTTTCCTCGAAGATGAGGTTCAAAGTTACAGCTCACCTATGTAAACGATAAAACTTCATTCAAGCAACATCTGGAAAAAATGTATCTACATAGCATTTCCCTTAATTTTGGAAATGCAGTTTCTTTGTGTTCATATTATGCACACTGAATTAGGAATTAGACCTATTTCAATCAGGGCTTAGTTCTCAATTGTCAGACGTAGGACTGCACAATAATACATGTTTACAAAGTACACTATACCATGCAAAGCATTAATTTAACTGTCCTATTCAAAGAAGTCCAAGCTGGTTGTGTGATTGCTTTTAGTTTATCTTACTAAGCAAACAACTGTTTTCATAGGTAGACAGGAGGCCTGTGAAATTCAAAACCACATCTCCACATCTACTTCACTGTTAACAGTGGCCTTTTGCTCCACTCTTCGGAGTTCAACAAGAGACATTTTGGTATTCAGCTAAATCTTCCTAACCTAAGATAAACTGGAACTCTAGCTTGCTGGGATAGAGTCAGAGTATAAATGTTCCTTATGAGACCAAATTACACCAACCTCACAATGAGAAAGAAAGGGATCAAAGAAGACTTTAAGGAAACTAACATGCTAGGGCTACAGGTGAAGGGCAGAAAGAGAGGGAGAAAAAGTGCTTCGTTGTGTGTTTTCCACCTATAAACTGATCACATGCTCATCATGAGATTTTTTTCTGCCCTTTGGCTTACGGGCACCACTTCATGTCAGGGATTTTGCTCAGCAAGAAAAAACACATAGATTCATCTACAGCCAACACATCAGCTTATTCTGCCTCCCTACTTCTTTCACACAAGACTGAGGGTCCTACATTTTTCACAATTTCTCAGTTTATAAATACATAATTATTAAGGCATGCAGGAAATAGCAATCACAGTAGCATATCATACCTTGAACTGAATAACCTTCCCCACATTTTTGAATTCAGGAAGTACATCTTCATAGAAATCTAGGAACTGCTGATAAATTTCCTCCTCGCTGTATTCCAGGCTTGCATCTGTGTCATAGTCATCTCTCTTACACTGCTCCATCCCAAAAGTAACAAACATTCCCCTGATAAGAAGTGTTTGACTAGAGCTTGGATAATTATGTTTCCGAGAACACCTATAATTAAAAAGAAAAGGACATTTCATTCTGAAACTACTAAAACTGTAATCATGTATTATATGTTTTACTAGGAACATTAAGCAGTTTTAGCAATATCTATCACTTACTTTAAAACAGTTCTTAGAGCAACTGACTTTTTAATTTTGGATTATTAAATACAAATCTATAGAATCCCACACATTGATTTAAGTAACCCACCAATTATTTGAAACCTCAATTTTCCCCCTAATTCCTATAGCATGCACAGAAGCCTCAAGAGACAAGTAGAATCTTTTTTCACTTGTAATAGGGAATGGAGATAAGAAATCAGTTTAGAAACTATTTTTCATTTATCTGAATTGCCACCTAGATTAGTTATCTATTTATTTTTCTTGTATTCTGCCCATTCTTCAAGAATGCGAGCTTGTGATGAGAGAGTGGCCAGTCAAAAGATGTAAATTTCAAATGTATTCATTTAAATAATATGATACTTTTCCTTTCACTGATATAGGATTTATTTTCATCTATAAAGAGTGTCCTACACTGCATTTGGGTATATGCACCTCACTACTAAAAATGTCACCTAATAATGAATGGGTCAATTCCTTTTAATTTATGCAATACTCTGGCTCTTGTCTTCAGTCAGAGGAGAGAAAGAATGAGAGCAGAGCTGGATAAGTTTCAGAACAAACATTCACAGGAATAATTTTCTGTTATAGTGTTCATGTGTGACACAAAGAAATAAAAGAAAGAACAGAATGTAGATGATTGTATCTGAAACTGGAAATACATTTTCTTTCACACTTAGAACCATTCAAGTATGGTGACTGGCCTGTATTTTCCTGAAGTGTGGCCTGAGGCTGAGGTCACCTGCCACACTCATGGCAGAGGTCTCAAACAGATGTTGCCACAGATTTTGCATGAGAATTAGTTTATTAGCCTAGGGACCTAGCACTGAAGCCTTTTCCTTAAAGTATCCAGAGAGAAAAAAATAAAGAAAATTAGAAACATTATAGATTATGATATTAAAAGGAATTTATTAAATAAAAAACTTTCCTGCAAAACAGAGCTACTTATTCACAATTTATCTGCTCTGGGAGCATTTTTCATTAAGCAAAACACTAAAACTTGAATTGGTTGTTGCTGTATAACAATATAAAACTCTTGAAACTAATCAACTGAAACTTGATCTGATTATACTTTTCAGGTGAGGCAACTATGGATGAAAATTATTTCCAATTCTGCCAATAAATAAAAAATGTTATTTGCAGTTCTCTTTAACAGGAAAAAAAAAAAATGTTTTGACTTCAAATTGGTATGAGTCACCCCTCATAAGGTTACTTTCAATGGTCAGCAGGTTAAAAACTGATTTCATAAATACAATGTGTCACAAAGAAAAAACAATTTCATGTTTACCAGTTATAATTAATTGGGAAGTATGGCGCTTTGGGGTTTTGAATCAAGTTTTAGATTTGAACACAAACTGAAGATTTAAGCTCTGAAAGGATCTGACTTTTATCTTCCTCAAATCACCTAACTGGGATCCAAACCTCTAATCACTTTCTCAGACAACTGTACTGAGCTTTAATAAATTTAATTTTTTTAAAAAAATGTTCTAGTTGTATATCATGAATATCCCTATTCCAACTGAGCCAATTCTTTCTCCTTCCTAATGTTTGAGGACTTCTTACGCAGTGGGAAAAAACTTTAAAAGTGTGATGGAAGGCATGAGCGGGGAGGATTCTGGAAGAGAGCTTCAAGGTTACAAGGAGGGGGAGTGACATTCCAAGCATCTCCTTGACCCCCAGCTAGACTGTGTGAAAGTAAGGAGGAAGAAACTGGCCTTTCCCTATAACTATGGTTATATTGCTCTCATTGGGGAATTAGAGTTAGTCTGGCGAGATTCTGTCTATTAGGTACAAGCTAATAAAGAAGCTGAGCTGATTTCTGGACACTCTCGTGTGATTCTTGTGCTGAACCTGACAAAAAGCTTGCTACATAATAGAAGTAAATCATGGCAACGTTCATATAAACTACACGGCAACAATAACTTATTCCCTATATTTCTGATTACAAAAGAATTTCACATACAGAATGGACCCTTTCTTGAGCAGAACTGTCCATTCAGTGACGTGCATGTCAACAAAATCACGGTCTCCCTAGTGCCTCCAGAAGTTAAAAGCTAATCTGGAAATGGCCACGAAAGGTGAGAGAAGAAATTAGACTCTTTTCCAGGTGAAGAAGCTTGCTGATTAACTATTAAAAACACTGCTATAGCTGTCATTCTATGCACCATCAAATGTAGTGTCAAAATGTTACTGTAATTGAAAATAGAACATTTTTCTAAAAATGGACATATAGCAAAGCAAGAATCACACAACCAATATTCCTGAAGAAAACAATGAAACACAGTATGTCACAGGCCAGGATGAATAAAAATGATTCCATGTGTGCCTAAATTAGAATAAAGTTGGCGAGCGTTCATCTCAAGAGGGAAGATGTTGCGCAGAAGGAATCTCATCCTTAGGATATAAGCCAACATGCTTAAATAATTACTTAACACTGTAGAAAAATCAATTTCTAGTTACTTCAACGATTCAATCGGAACTGAATTACCTATCTCCGAATCTGCAAGCTCCAGTTTTAATATAGAAAGGGCAATTGGCACGGTCCTTCTCGGTGCCGATATTCTCTGGGGGCTCAGGGTTATGCCAAGCAGTTCCATTTTCTAGCTGTTTTTTTTTTTTTTAAATATAGGAATAAGAGAAACCCAATAAAGTTAATAAATGCATTCTGATAATTAAATTAACCTAATTAATCAGATTGTATATAAAAACATCATTAAGAAATAGAGGGGGAATAAAATTTTATCACTGTAATTTCATTACAGTCAACTCAGTTTTAAATAACAGTAGTCTAATGGAGTGTTTCTTGATGTTGGCAACTTTAAGATGTGTGGACTTCAACTCCCAGAATTCTCCAGCCAGCCATGCTGACTGGGGAATTCTAGGAGTTGAAGTCCACACATCTTAAAGTTGCCAAGGTTGAGAAATACTGACCTAATGTTATATAAGATTCAAAGAGGCATAATTTCCTAATAAAAGGTGCATCACTTTGTGATGAATTTAATAACATCACTCATTTACATATGTCTTTAGATCAAAATAAAACTGCCCAAAATGTTCCCCTCCGAATTATGTAATATGTAATTAATTTTTTCTTGCTCCTTTCCCATTTATGCTGACATATTTAAAAGCTCCACTAAAAATATTTTCATGCGTTCACAAGCATTTCAACTACTATGTGCACTGTTCCAAATATATACATCTCTTATGATTTATGAAAGGTATGTTGTATTAAAATAACCACTAGGCAGCAATATGAAAACCTGATACAAAGCACAATTAAATTTGTATCACTGTTTCATTTTATATATCTCTAAAGCTGGACTGGGCAACCTGCATACAGTCCCCAGTGCCTTCTCCCAGTATCCAGAATTAAGCTGCTAAATTTCAGTAACAAAACATCATGAAAAAGAGGTATGACTTTCCACAAAAGGAAAGCTTTCGAGGTCTACTGTTAAAATTAGGTTAACACACCAAAACATAAAACAAAAAATAAAAACCCAATAACTCTATTATCTCACAAAAATGCACCACACAAATACTAGCCCCACCCATTTGATGTTATCACTGCATTTACAGTGGTCCTTTACCTACCCAAATTATTAATTAAAAACCATATCTTTCATTAGCCAAAAAGTTCCATGTCCCTGCTCTAAACATACCTGACTTTCAGCCTGGTCCAACATCTTCTGCACAGCCTCCTATAAATGGTGCAAATACAGAACTAGTAAAAACTTTGAATGCTGACATCTGATTTGTTTAGTTAAGATCAAAATGTTCAGTTTTAAGTATTGCTTTGTTTAGTTCAACTGAGAGAAGGCTTATATATTATTCTACAGTAGTATATTCATGCACACACACACACTCACACAATATACAAAGCATTTAAGTTATATTTTAAATAATTTCCTCCACATCAACTCCCTACCACTCCCCAATAATAGTATTCCCCTTGTCAACAATTAAAACAGACCAAAAAAAAAAGTCATAAATGAATATAGAAGATATTCCGACTGTTTAGTTTTGCAAGATGGTGTAAACACGGCAGTGTAATTCTGCAAGTGAGTTAAACACATTATAAATTCTTTGTAATGGGCATAGATCTTTTGAATTTATTTATTTATAAATCAAATTTATATGCCACCCATCTCATTATGTAAGTGATTCTAAGTGGTTCACAAATAAGAAGCATAAAAACAGTTTAAAAACAACAAAACAAAGTTAAAAGATAGAAAGAGCATCTTCAAGTACCAGCCACCCCCAGTGCAGGGAGCCCCCACTGGATCCCCAAGCTAGTTGGCAGAGCCAGGTCTTAATGCTCTTCTGGAAGGCCAGAATGGGGGGGCGCTAACCTCACTTCGGGGGGTAAGATATTCCACAGGGTGGGGGTGATGGCAGAAAAGGCTCTCCTAGACCCTGCCAGTCAAAATTCTCTAGCCAATGGGATCTGCAACATGCCCTTTCTGCTGGACCAGGTGGGACGGGTAACCCAATGTAATTTCGATGAGACAGGTTCCCCTTCTAACGTATATCATGGGGGACAAGTATCTTATAATTGTACCAGAAATTCTGCAATCAATTGTGTACTAGAAACACTGATTTAAGCATAACTTTCTCAATGGTATCTATAAGGTCAAATATGCTCAACTGCACTGATGCTGGCACTTCTAACTGAGCAAATAATAATGTCTTTAATGTCTGTATAGCAAAGCTCAGAATTCCAGAATAAAGTTGGGTACCAGTATACCAAAAATGGTTCAGCGTGTAAAAAAAAAAACCCTTTAAGGGTAATTAAGAATTAGTCAACAGCTTCTGATTTTCCACTGTATAACCGATGATACATCGGTTGCATGTGAGTTGCAACCGATGATACTCAAATGGTTATTCAAATTACACATGGTTCCTCAGTGATGATATTCATACTGAGTCCATTTCTTGTGCACATTAATATCTGGTTTATTTATTCCAGCTTGGTTTTTATATAATGTCAGTAGGTCTAACCTTTTAGGGCTTGTGCGCATTTTTGGAATATGTTGTGGGTGTTCATGCAAAATGACCACCTGGAAATGTTGCTAATTCACAAAATAGCTGTCATGGGGGACATAAGCTATTACAAAGGAAACTATCTACCACACCCTCCAGCACTTCTTACCTTTTGCGGTCACACTTTGAAACAGCACTAGGTGCAGCCACCCATCGCTTTTATTTTCTAAGAAAGCTTAGGGGACTTATTTGGGATCCAGGGCTTTTCTTGGAATTAAAATGATGCTGGAGGCTGATGTGTTGCTTTGTAGCATCACACTTCTCTCTCTTTTTAAAAAATTAAAATGCCTTTTCAAATGTAAAAACTAGGTGAAACAAAGACCCTGAGAGGCATCAAAGGAGATTTCCATGATGTATCCAGGTATCACACTGAGTCTTCTGATCTAGAACTTTTTCTTTCTGTCTTAACCTCCTTTGAAGCTCTCAGCTTCCGTTTTAGTTCCCAACCACAGTAACTAAAACCATAATTAGAAAGCATTTAGTCTACAATGTTTTTTATGTAATCTGCTTATAATCGATGCATACATACTACCTTTTTGACTTAGGAAACAGTGAATAAAATATCACCAGTATTTTTAAAAAATACATAAAACTTTCCTAGGCCACCCCATTTCACTAGTTTAAATTAATGCTTTCTAGTCTTTGTCAAAGTTTCTTGAATTATTTCTCTGACCCAAGCTCCTCTCTTTGTGTTTCAAACATCAATATAAAATGACAAATATCATCTTTTTGCCAAGGAAATGAGCAACTGACATATTAATTTTTACTTTCAAAGATCCTATAAAGTGTATTCTTTTACTGCAAGTAGAACAGTATGAGATTAGCCAAGTTAAGAGATTTGCTTGGGAGAATGGAGGGTTAAGACGCAGTCATAAAATTCAGAGGCAAACAAGATCATAATAATTTCCCTAGAAGCTGAACAAGATAATCAAATAATTAACCTATAAAAACTAAAGTCGTGTAATATGTTTTTCCCCCACTTAACAAGCTATAGAAAAAGATACGTCTTGATGAATAAATCAGGTAAAGATGACTGCAACATCTTTAAGTGAAAAAAATAGTTAAGGAATCGCAGCAGTATAATTCCATGTTAAGAACTTGAAACAAGACTGAACTTTATTTGCTACACCTTTAAATAAAGTTTACATAAGTCACATATAAGAATAATTTTATTGCATCTACATCCTCATAGCAAGAGGCCTATCTGCTTATTCTAGACCTATTGAACCAAAACCCATGGATTTTTTTCATCTGCCACTACAGGAATAGAGATGGTAGCTTGGTCACAACCACTGACCAAGAGTATGAGCTACTGCAAATTTGTGATTCTTCATTCTTTCTGTCTCGGAAAATTTATAATTGCCAGCTGTAGCAAGATGAGGCAAATATATAAAAAGGATACTAAATATCTGAGAAGTCTTAAGGGAAAAGTTGGGTCATTATTCTATTTTCTTTCCAATTTTACACAAAGAAAGATACGTAAGAACTGTAAAAACTGCTCAAAGATAGGCAGGACAATTAATTAAGCAATATAAGTAGCTATTTCCTGCCTTTCATTTTTAAGGCTGAAACAATATTTATAGTGCAAGCCAGTCCCTTTACACTTAGAAGTATTAGTTTAATAGCTTACATAATATGATTTAATTTAGAATTAGTAAGCCAGAGTCACTGAAAATACGCATGTGCATAAAACTGAAAACATGCTTTGTTTTGAACCCAAAAGAAACACACTGCATTCAGAAAGCTCTGCCAAACCATTCTGTAGAGCTGCAGTTTGGCTGAAACAAAGCTTAGAAGATTTTTGTTGGCCAAAACTACCCAAAACAAAACCCCAGGGAACCTGGAGAGATTTTATGGAATCGGCAGTGCACACTGCCCCCTTTTTCCCCCCAATGACCTATCCAACCACCAACATTACCTGTACTTTCCTGCTTCTACTTTTCAACAGCTGTCACTGCTGTGCCACAGAGCACATTCCACTGGCCCACCTGCCTCCCAATCGCCCTTTCCTGCTCTTCCCTCTCTCCTCTGGCTGCCACTACTGGCATCCTTGGCTTTTTCCCGCCCTTATCTCCCTTCAAAACACTACCACCCAGGAATTCCAACTCAAATCTCTGCTTAAAAATCTGGTACCTCACTGAAGTCACTTAGGACTCTGTTATTACATGAGTACTATGAGAGGATATGCATTGGATTTATCCTCCTAGAGCAGGAATCACCTCTCTTTCTCTCTTCATTTGTTGTTTTCGCTCTTCCTCCTCTTGTTCTTTCTTTTGCTGTTTTTGCCATTCTTCTTTTATTTTTTGCTAAAAAAAAAAAAGAACATAAACTATTTATTCATCTATGTAAACATTAATTTGAAATGAATTTTCTAGATGAATGAGAGGATATGCATTGGATTTATCCTCCTAGAGCAGGAATCACCTCTCTTTCTCTCTTCATTTGTTGTTTTCGCTCTTCCTCCTCTTGTTCTTTCTTTTGCTGTTTTTGCCATTCTTCTTTTATTTTTTGCTAAAAAAAAAAAAGAACATAAACTATTTATTCATCTAGAAAATTCATTTCAAATTAATGTTTACAGATATTGTTGCATTGTATTAAATTTATTAAAGGTGATGATTGATTACTTATTTAATTAGGTGTCTGGTTTTTAATTGGTGAATCAATTCAAATTTATTTGCCTTTTTTCCACAAATTTCAATGTGAGTAAATTTTGTGAGTTGATTTCCTCACACAGCTAGAGAAAAACAACACAATAGCAAATCTGACAGTTGCAAAAATGAAGGCCCAATGGAGATAAGACAGTCCACCCAAATATGGGAGCGGAGCAATATATTATATGCAGCAGAAAGGATAACAAAATGAAGAGAATTTGAACCCTGTTTCAAGGGCTTAATCTTCAGCTATAGGAGTAGCTGATATTCTTTGATTCCAGATTCCTACTTTCTTCAGTAAATCTTAATTATCTGAAGTTCTTGGATTTCTTGTGAGCTGGCCTAAGTAGTTCACAGAAGTTGCTTAAATCAGGGTTCTTCCACCTTAGTGACTTGAAGATGTA